CTAAATGTACTAATTTCGAACACTCTACAACAAATACGAAAAGCACTGCAATTAGAACTATATAGAGCACAAAGTAAGTATAATCTATAACATGCTATATAATATAAAGGAAAAACATTGAAAAAACAAAAGCGCTAAATGTACTAATTTCGAACACTCTACAACAAATACGAAAAGCACTGCAATTAGAACTATATAGAGCACAAAGTAAGTATAATCTATAACATGCTATATATATAAAGGAAAAACATTGAAAAAACAAAAGCGCTAAATGTACTAATTTCGAACACTCTACAACAAATACGAAAAGCACTGCAATTAGAACTATAGAGCACAAAGTAAGTATAATCTATAACATGCTATATAATATAAAGGAAAAACATTGAAAAAACAAAAGCGCTAAATGTACTAATTTCGAACACTCTACAACAAATACGAAAAGCACTGCAATTAGAACTATAGAGCACAAAGTAAGTATAATCTATAACATGCTATATAATATAAAGGAAAAACATTGAAAAACAAAAGCGCTAAATGTACTAATTTCGAACACTCTACAACAAATACGAAAAGCACTCAATTAGAACTATAGAGCACAAAGTAAGTATAATCTATAACATGCTATATAATATAAAGGAAAAACATTGAAAAAACAAAAGCGCTAAATGTACTAATTTCGAACACTCTACAACAAATACGAAAAGCACTGCAATTAGAACTATAGAGCACAAAGTAAGTATAATCTATAACATGCTATATAATATAAAGGAAAAATTGAAAAAACAAAGCGCTAAATGTACTAATTTCGAACACTCTACAACAAATACGAAAAGCACTGCAATTAGAACTATATAGAGCACAAAGTAAGTATAATCTATAACATGCTATATAATATAAAGGAAAAACATTGAAAAAACAAAAGCGCTAAATGTACTAATTTCGAACACTCTACAACAAATACGAAAAGCACTGCAATTAGAACTATATAGAGCACAAAGTAAGTATAATCTATAACATGCTATATAATATAAAGGAAAACATTGAAAAAACAAAAGCGCTAAATGTACTAATTTCGAACACTCTACAACAAATACGAAAAGCACTGCAATTAGAACTATATAGAGCACAAAGTAAGTATAATCTATAACATGCTATATAATATAAAGGAAAAACATTGAAAAAACAAAAGCGCTAAATGTACTAATTTCGAACACTCTACAACAAATACGAAAAGCACTGCAATTAGAACTATAGAGCACAAAGTAAGTATAATCTATAACATGCTATATAATATAAAGGAAAAACATTGAAAAAACAAAAGCGCTAAATGTACTAATTTCGAACACTCTACAACAAATACGAAAAGCACTGCAATTAGAACTATATAGAGCACAAAGTAAGTATAATCTATAACATGCTATATAATATAAAGGAAAAACATTGAAAAAACAAAGCGCTAAATGTACTAATTTCGAACACTCTACAACAAATACGAAAAGCACTGCAATTAGAACTATATAGAGCACAAAGTAAGTATAATCTATAACATGCTATATAATATAAAGGAAAAACATTGAAAAAACAAAAGCGCTAAATATACTAATTTCGAACACTCTACAACAAATACGAAAAGCACTGCAATTAGAACTATATAGAGCACAAAGTAAGTATAATCTATAACATGCTATATAATATAAAGGAAAAACATTGAAAAAACAAAAGCGCTAAATGTACTAATTTCGAACACTCTACAACAAATACGAAAAGCACTGCAATTAGAACTATATAGAGCACAAAGTAAGTATAATCTATAACATGCTATATAATATAAAGAAAAACATTGAAAAAACAAAAGCGCTAAATGTACTAATTTCGAACACTCTACAACAAATACGAAAAGCACTCAATTAGAACTATAGAGCACAAAGTAAGTATAATCTATAACATGCTATATAATATAAAGGAAAAACATTGAAAAAACAAAAGCGCTAAATGTACTAATTTCGAACACTCTACAACAAATACGAAAAGCACTGCAATTAGAACTATATAGAGCACAAAGTAAGTATAATCTATAACATGCTATATAATATAAAGGAAAAACATTGAAAAAACAAAAGCGCTAAATGTACTAATTTCGAACACTCTACAACAAATACGAAAAGCACTGCAATTAGAACTATATAGAGCACAAAGTAAGTATAATCTATAACATGCTATATAATATAAAGGAAAAACATTGAAAAAACAAAAGCGCTAAATGTACTAATTTCGAACACTCTACAACAAATACGAAAAGCACTGCAATTAGAACTATAGAGCACAAAGTAAGTATAATCTATAACATGCTATATAATATAAAGGAAAAACATTGAAAAAACAAAAGCGCTAAATGTACTAATTTCGAACACTCTACAACAAATACGAAAAGCACTCTATTAGAACTATAGAGCACAAAGTAAGTATAATCTATAACATGCTATATAATATAAAGGAAAACATTGAAAAAACAAAAGCGCTAAATGTACTAATTTCGAACACTCTACAACAAATACGAAAAGCACTGCAATTAGAACTATATAGCGCACAAAGTAAGTATAATCTATAACATGCTATATAATATAAACGAAAAACATTGAAAAAACAAAAGCGCTAAATGTACTAATTTCGAACACTCTACAACAAATACGAAAAGCACTGCAATTAGAACTATATAGAGCACAAAGTAAGTATAATCTATAACATGCTATATAATATAAAGGAAAAACATTGAAAAAACAAAAGCGCTAAATGTACTAATTTCGAACACTCTACAACAAATACGAAAAGCACTCAATTAGAACTATAGAGCACAAAGTAAGTATAATCTATAACATGCTATATAATATAAAGGAAAAACATTAAAAAACAAAAGCGCTAAATGTACTAATTTCGAACACTCACAACAAATACGAAAAGCACTCAATTAGAACTATAGAGCACAAAGTAAGTATAATCTATAACATGCTATATAATATAAAGGAAAAACATTGAAAAAACAAAGCGCTAAATGTACTAATTTCGAACACTCTACAACAAATACGAAAAGCACTCAATTAGAACTATAGAGCACAAAGTAAGTATAATCTATAACATGCTATATAATATAAAGAAAAACATTGAAAAAACAAAAGCGCTAAATGTACTAATTTCGAACACTCTACAACAAATACGAAAAGCACTGTAATTAGAACTATATAGAGCACAAAGTAAGTATAATCTATAACATGCTATATAATATAAAGGAAAAACATTGAAAAAACAAAAGCGCTAAATGTACTAATTTCGAACACTCTACAACAAATACGAAAAGCACTGCAATTAGAACTATATAGAGCACAAAGTAAGTATAATCTATAACATGCTATATAATATAAAGGAAAAACATTGAAAAAACAAAAGCGCTAAATGTACTAATTTCGAACACTCTACAACAAATACGAAAAGCACTCTAATTAGAACTATAGAGCACAAAGTAAGTATAATCTATAACATGCTATATAATATAAAGGAAAAACATTAAAAAACAAAAGCGCTAAATGTACTAATTTCGAACACTCTACAAGAAATACGAAAAGCACTGCAATTAGAACTATATAGAGCACAAAGTATGACGAGGACGTCCAATCTTCAAGCATTCAAATGCCCGTGGGACCCATCACTCGAAGCCGAGCTCGTCAATTTCAAAAATCCGTCACTGCATTGATCAAACGATTTTTCATGGAGAATAAATTTAAGGATGATGCTTGGAGACCACTTAGCCCTCACCTGACGCTCCTTCAATGGGACCCGCAAGAATCCCAATTGAAAGATCAAAAGAATCGCTAATAATGGAAGGTTATCGAGGGAATCATCACTTATGGAGAGAATCACTAATCATGGAAGTAAAGCAAGAGAATCCTCACTTATGGAGAGAATCACCAATCATGGAAGTATATATCAAGGGAATCATCACTTTTGGAGAGAATCACTAAATCATGGAAGTATATCAAGGGAATCATCACTTATTTCCTTTTATTATAAGTTTCCATATAGTATAATTCCATATCTAAAACTTCCCTAATTATTTATTTCCTTATAGTTAGACTTACCTTTTGGTTTGTTTCTTTTATTATTTGTTGCCTTTTATTTTCCTCAAGGACTTCTATATAAGGTCCTTGCCTATCATTGTAATGCGGACCTTTTTTACATCTTGAATTGAATTTCACTTTTATATTTTCTAGTGTTAGGGAGTGATTTCCTCGCATTTAGAATCTCAAATCGGGTCTTTAGTGATTCCATCGGTTCGTGGCTTCCAATCCTTTGCAGTGGGATTTAGCCTATTGTTTGTGTTTTACCTATAGATTGATTTCAGGTCCGAGACTTATTCTCGTGGTTGGTTATCATCTATACTAATTCACATTCTCTGCACTATCTTTCTTCTTCCTTCTCTTTTCTTTTATACATATTGTTAATCCATTTGTTCTATTGAACTTTGTGGGTAAGAAAATTATTTTGGTTATAATTATACGCGGCCGGGCCGTGTCATCTGGTATCAGAGCTAGTTGATACAATCTCTTGATTGATATCACGGTTCTTATTTGAAAAAAAAAAAAAAAAAAAAAAGAGTAAAAAAAAAAGCAAAAAAAAAAACAAAAAAAGAGGCAAAAAAAATGAAAAAAAAAAAAAGTTATTATCAAATATAATATATTTGTTATTTACTTCTAGTTCTCGAATCATCTTTTCTTTTATCAAAAAAAAAAAAAAAATAATCTATTTAGATTATTTGTCTTCTACCTTCATTCTGAACTTATATTTCTTTGGTTTCCCTACTGTTTTGGATTTTTTGGCTATCGTCTTTGGGAGAATTCCATCGATTTGATTTGAGTACTTTTTGCGAGACGGAGAGGTACATAAGGTGTGGAGTGATACACGAGAGTTCTAGTGAGATTATTTTCTTTGTTTTCTTTCTTCTGTTTCTAATGGCAGGGGGTGAAGGATCCAATTCTCAACAAGTTGATGTACAAGGTCTTCTCAACACCATTCTACAAGAGTTCAAAACTCTTCACCATTCTGGATTGGAGTTGATGAATAATAGGATGGATCAACTGGAAGAGAATCAACAAAAGTTACAAGAGAATATCCGACCGTTACCTGAAGCTCAAAGGCGAAATAATGTTCAACCGCATTTGAGGCCAAGACGCAACATCCGGCCCCCATCACCACACAACACTGACGAACCCGATGATGAGGAGTTTGGAGGAAATTGGGAACGACCTAGGCATCATAATAACCATCACCGACGGGATGGAGATGAGGCGATCAACTCGATCAAGTTCCAAGTGCCACCGTTCCAAGGAAAATCCGACCCTGAAGCATTTTTGCAATGGGAGCGAAGGTTAGAACTAATCTTTGATGTTCAACAATTAACTGACCAACAAAAACTCCGTGTGGCCGTAATGGAGTTTTCAGATTATGCGCTTGCATGGTGGGACCAATTGAGCATCAACCGCTACAGAAATAGGGAGGCTCCAGTGCGTACTTGGACAGAACTTCGTACACTAATGCGAAAGAGGTTTGTTCCCCCTCATTACCATCGTGAAGTATTGCGGAGATTGCAGAGTATACAACAAGGGGCGCGGTCAGTGGAGGAGTACTATAAGGAGGTTGAAACACTTCTTCTACAAGCCGATATCCATGAAGATCAGGAGCAAACGATGTCTAGATTCTCGAATGGACTTCAAAGGGATATTGCTGATGCGGTAGAGATGTACCAATACGTGGACCTTGAGGAGATGATACACTTGGCCATAAAGGTGGAGAAGCAACTAAAATCAAAGCGGATGCAAGGTAATCAGTTTAAACTTTCTCCAACTGTAGGGTTTCCTAAAGCGCCGCTTCCACAACATATCAACAAAGGAAAAGAGATAGCGGGAGTTGATTCGACGCGCCCTAAGCCGCCAACATATGCCCCCCCAAAGAGCACAACCCGTAGCCGAGATGTGTTATGTTTCAAATGCCAAGGCCGAGGACATTTTGCGAATCAATGTCCAACAAGCGTACTATGGTTCTTACGATCTCCGGTGAGTACGAATCCGAATCAGAAACTGAAGAGGTCAATGAGGCAAACTCCTACCAACAGGAAGCTGTAGAATCCATACCGGAGTCCAATTTGACGTTAGTCACTCTCCGAGCTCTTAGCACTCGATGATGTGACCATCATGACGGAATTGGACCCAATCATAATTCCTCCTGGACCAATCACTAGGAGCCGAGCCCGTAAATTTCAATTGGCAATAACAAAGTGTGCCAAACTTCAAATGGATGCCACTGCTGAACTCTACAACGACGATCAAAATAAACCATGCATTCTTCTGGAAATTGGATCACAAGTCCCAAGGACCATAAGGCCAGGAGCACCTTACAAGGCATTGGACCTCCCCTAAATTACTATCCCTAATTGAAGGGATCCCATGAATCAATATCCCCTGAATGAAGGAATTCCATAGATCAAGGGATTACCAATAATCATGGGATTGCCATGAATTATGGGTCAATAATACTAAATAAGGCTAATTATAATAACTACTCCCCATATGATTTTATTTCCTTTAAGAGTGTACTTTCTTGTTTTTAAATTTCCATGGTTCCTCTATAAAAGGACCCATGATTATCATTGTAAGATTTTTCATTCCACAAAGAGATTTTATAAACTGGTTTTTTTTTCAAGAGCGATTCTTGTGCCTTTTTGAAGTGTAATCTTGAGTGATTCGGTTACAGCTTCATATCCCCAAATCGAGTTGTTTCGAGTGATTTGAAACAAGTCGTGGCCTCTCGAATAGTACTGGAACTATTCTTGCCTTAGCTTGTATTGTCAGCTTGTTTAGAGGATTGTGATACGTGAGCTTGATCTCTCGTGTTGCCTTCCCGACTACCTCTCAATTCAAGAGAGTCCAGTTTATCTCCATTAATATAGATATATATATATAGCCATCCATCCCTTACTCTATCCAAATCTACAATATTTTTGTTACTTATTCTTGTGGAATTCGATCCGAACTGTTATCCTTGGCAAGTTCGCATCATCTGGTATCAGAGCTAGGTTGATACAATCTCTTGATTGATATCACGGTTCATATTTGAAACAAAAAAAAAAAAAAAAAAAAAAAAAAAAAAAAATCCGAAAAAAAAAAAAATACAAAAAGAAAAGTTGAAAAAAAAAAAAAAAAAGACTTGAGAATATTTTGTTTTCCTTTTCTACATAACATTAATATATTTCTATATATTCTTATCCCTTTTCTCTTTCCATACATTTTTTTTCTCTCTTAATTTTCTTTATTTAATATTTTCATTTCCATTATCCATATCCACTTCTTTCCAAAAAAAAAAAGTTTATAATATTTCTCCTATTTTTATTCGATTATCTAAAGGTCTAATTACTTGTGATTTTTACTTGAAATTTCTTGATTTGGGAATTGCATTGGGTCGTTGACCAGTTTTATTTAAGTGAGTGAAACACGAGCGGAGTGAAAGAGTGTTTGTGGCGAGATCATTACATACCGGAGAGCGCGATTCAAGAGAGGAGAAACCTGTGTGAGGATATACCCTTGTTATTTTACATTTTTTCTTTGATGGCAGGTGAAGGACACCCAGACGAGCGCCCTAATCCTCAAATCGCAGCGCTATCCAAAGCATTGGAAGCACGATTCACGAAGCAACTTACTGACGAGATGGACACCGTACACTCAATGTTGGCTGATCTTGCTCAATCTATTCGGGAATTGACAACTGAGCGACAGCAGGGCCGACCCGCCCCCGACGCTAGTCGATCTGCAAGGCGGAATCCTATATACCGAGGTAGGGAAGACGCTTCTGAAAATTTTGATGAAGAATGGGAGCCACCCCCTCCAAATAGAGACAACCGAAATCAAGATCCTATGAGGAACTTGAAGTTCAGCATTCCTTCTTTCAATGGGAATTCTGACCCGGATGTTTATCTTGATTGGGAGAAGAAGATGGAGTTGATTCGAGATTGCTCTACATATGATGATGAGCAATGGACGAGAATTGCTGTAATGGAGTTCACCCACTATGCCCTTAATTGGTGGGAGCAACTAAGTACGAAACGAAGGCGAGAAGGGAAGGCGCGGATCACCACATGGGATGGGCTCAAAAAGGCTCTGAGGAAACGATTCGTACCATCCTGGTATAGGAGGGAGCTACACGAACGAGTTCAACAAATGTCTCAAGGTAACAGAAGTGTAGAGGAGTATTACAAAGAGCTTGAGACAGCCATGATGCGGGCTGATATTGTGGAGGATCCTGAAGCAACCATGGCTCGATTCATGAGTGGAATCAACCGAGATTTGAGAGATACTCTAGAGCTACACCCGTATGTTGACTTGTCGGAATTGCTCCAACGTGCGATTTTATTGGAGAAACAACGCAAGCGAAAGGGGCGAGCGGATTCTTTCAATCGACCACCACCCCGGTCTACCCAAACTATCCTGGAGCCCCGAGGTATCCCTAATACTAACGTCAATAAATTTTCTAATGTTGACAAGGGAAAAAGTGTCGCGCATGTTGGCACAACTCGAAACCCACAAAAGGAATATGTCCATGGCAAGAATCCCCGAAACCGTGAAATTACCTGTTTTCGGTGTCAAGGGAAAGGGCACTATGCCTCTGAGTGCCCGAACAAGAAGGCCATGATCTTGACGGATGCGGGTGAAGTCGTCACCGACGATGAAGGAGATGTAGATGGTGAACAAATTCTTGAATGTGAGGAAAGTACTGTTGAAGAAGATGATGAATACTCCAAAATCACGGTGGTAACTCTGCGGTCTCTTAGTACATTTCAAAAGGAGGAACCAACCCAAATGCAAAGAGAGAACATCTTCCACTGTCGTTGCAAAATCGAAGGCAAGATTTGCAGCATGATAATTGATAACGGAAGCTGCACCAATGTGGTTAGTGAGACATTGGTCAAAAAGTTGAACCTTGTCACCAAGCCCCATCCGCGACCCTATCGATTGCAGTGGTTGACCAATAATGGGGAACTACGAGTAAATAAACAAGTTGAGGTAACCTTCCGAATTCGTGGTTATATGGACCAGGTTGTATGCGATGTTGTGCCAATGCAGGCTTGCCACATACTACTTGGACGGCCTTGGCAATTTGATCGCAATGTCACCTACTTTGGGAAGGAAAATACTTTTACGCTCACACATGAGGGCAAAAAGATCACCTTGACTCCCCTTACCCCCCAAGAAGCCCACACGGATCAGGAAGTGATACAAAAAAACCATGTTCAAGAAATGATGGCTATGGAGAACGTCTCAAAATCAGCGGGAACTCAAAGCTCCATATGAGAGGCAGACATAAATTCCATGGCAAGTTCGTCTATGACCGCTCCATCGCGAGTTCCAAGAGTGATCCCCTCAGAAAAACGAGAGAAAAGTAAGGGAGTACCTACCAAAGATACCCTTTCCCAAATGGGGAGGAACAGTGACCAGGCCATATTTCTCACTCGAAAGGATATTAGATCCATTGGAGAGGATGAGAGTGATAGGATTTACATTTTGCTTTGTAAGTTTAATCTCCTTACAGCTTATGATTTGCAATCTAACCTGCCTCCAGAGTTCTATCCTATTTTGCAGGAATTTTCTGATGTACTACCCAAGGAACTACCAAGCGAGTTGCCCCCAATCCGTGGTATTAAGCATCAGATTGATTTCATACCTGGCGCTCAATTGCCAAATAGGCCGGCATATAGGGCCAACCCAGATGAGACCAAAGAGATCCAAAGGCAAATCCAAGACTTGTTAGATAAAGGCTGGGTGCGTGAGAGCCTTAGTCCATGTTCTGTACCGGTACTCCTCGTTCCAAAGAAGGATGGTAAGTGGCGTATGTGTGTAGATTGTAGAGCAATAAATGCAATTACTATTAAGTATAGACATCCTATTCCTAGATTAGATGATATGCTTGATGAACTTCAGGGTGCTGCTCTTTTTACAAAAATTGATCTTAAAAGTGGTTACCATCAGATAAGAATGAGAGAAGGAGATGAGTGGAAAACTGCTTTCAAAACTAAGCTAGGGCTGTATGAGTGGACTGTCATGCCTTTTGGCTTAACTAATGCCCCTAGTACCTTTATGAGATTGATGAATCATGTTCTTAGACCTTGCATAGGAAGGTTTGTGGTTGTTTACTTTGATGACATCTTGATCTATAGTAAGGACTTATCTGCACACATTGAGCATGTGAGAGAAGTGTTCACTTTATTGCGGCAGAACAAACTTTATGCAAATGTTGAAAAATGTGCATTTTGTGTTTCTAGTTGTCTATTCCTTGGCTATGTTGTTAGCGCACAGGGAATACAAGTCGATGAGGAGAAGATCAGAGCCATCCAGGAGTGGCCTGTCCCTACTACTGTTCGTGAAGTTCGTAGTTTCCATGGCTTGGCGGGATTCTACCGAAGGTTTATTCGTGATTTCAGTACTATTGCAGCCCCTCTCACTGCTGTTATTCGCAAGGATGAACTGTTTAGTTGGGGAGAAGCGCAACAACAAGCCTTCGACAAGCTGAAATATTTGTTAACTCATGCCCCAATTCTTAAACTCCCGAACTTTGAACTAACATTTGAACTTGAATGTGATGCTTCAGGTGTGGGTATTGGAGCCGTTCTAATGCAAAATCGCGAACCTATTGCATACTTCAGCGAGAAGCTAGGTGGCGCAGCCTTGAACTACCCAACTTACGACAAGGAGTTATATGCCTTGGTTCGTGCACTTCAGGTATGGCAGCATTATCTTTTGCCAAAGGAATTTGTTATCCACTCAGATCACGAGTCCCTTAAGCATATAAAAACTCAAGCTAAACTAAATAAGAGGCATGCCAGATGGATTTCTTTTGTTGATACATTCCCTTATGTGATAAAGTATAAGAAGGGAAAGGATAATGTCGTAGCTGACGCACTTTCTAGGCGCACTCACATTCTTACTATTTTGACTTCTCAATTGCTAGGGTTCTCACAGGTAAAATCATTGTATGCAAATGACAAAGATTTTTCTGACATCTTCAATAAGTGTGCCAGCACTGGATTTAAAGATTTCTATTTGCATGAGGGCTATTTGTATAAGGCTAACCAGTTGTGTATTCCACAAGGTTCTATTCGAACTGTTTTAACTCACGAAGTCCATGAAGGTGGACTCATGGGGCATTTTGGAGCCACCAAAACTCTTAAACTTTTGCAGGAAAAATTTTATTGGCCAAGGATGCGTGCGGACGTGGAACAACACATTACACGTTGCATTACATGTAGACAAGCCAAATCCACAACGCTACCACATGGTTTATATAAGCCCCTGCCTACACCCGACACACCTTGGGTAGATTTGAGTATGGACTTCATTTTGGGGCTACCTCGTACAAAAGGAGGTAAGGACTCTATCATGGTTGTTGTCGATAGGTTTTCAAAAATGTCCCACTTTATTCCTTGCAATAAGACGAATGACGCAATGCATATTGCTAATTTGTTTTTCAAAGAAGTAGTTAGAATGCATGGAATTCCCCGTACGATTGTATCTGATAGGGACACTAAATTCTTAAGCTTTTTCTGGAAAAACTTTTGGGGAAAATTAGGGACAAAACTTCTCTTTTCTACCTCATATCACCCACAAACAGATGGTCAAACGGAAGTAACAAATCGCACCCTAGGCACTCTCCTTAGGTGTATTATCAAAAAGAATTTGCGTAGTTGGGAAAGTTGTCTCCCTCATGTTGAGTTTGCATATAATCGTGCTATCCATAGTGCTACTAACATGTCCCCTTTTGAAGTAGTGTACGGCTTCAACCCACTTTCTCCAGTTGACCTATTGCCACTACCATGTAGTGAGCGACAAAATGTTAATTTCAGGGATCGGGCACAAAAGATTCAGGAGCTTCATAAGACAGTACAAAAGGAAATTGACGCTACCAATGCGCGGAATGCAAAAGCTGCTAATCGCCACCGCAAGAAGATTGTCTTCCAACCCGGTGATTGGGTGTGGCTTCACTTACGAAAAGAGAGATTTTCGGCACAACGCAAGTCTAAGTTGTCCCCACGAGGCGATGGTCCCTTTCAAGTCGTTGAACGCATCAACGATAATGCCTACAAACTAGACCTCCCAGGTGAGTATAATGTCCATGCTACATTTAATGTTTCTGACTTGTCTCCGTTTGATGTAGGTGACGAGAGGTTGATGGGACAACCTTTTCAAGAGAGGGGGGATGATGTGACCATCATGACGGAATTGGACCCAATCATAATTCCTCCTGGACCAATCACTAGGAGCCGAGCCCATAAATTTCAATTGGCAATAACAAAGTGTGCCAAACTTCAAATGGATGCCACTGCTGAACTCTACAACGACGATCAAAATAAACCATGCATTCTTCTGGAAATTGGATCACAAGTCCCAAGGACCATAAGGCCAGGAGCACCTTACAAGGCATTGGACCTCCCCTAAATTACTATCCCTAATTGAAGGGATCCCATGAATCAATATCCCCTGAATGAAGGAATTCCATAGATCAAGGGATTACCAATAATCATGGGATTGCCATGAATAATGGGTCAATAATACTAAATAAGGCTAATTATAATAACTACTCCCCATATGATTTTATTTCCTTTAAGAGTGTACTTTCTTGTTTTTAAATTTCCATGGTTCCTCTATAAAAGGACCCATGATTATCATTGTAAGATTTTTTCATTCCACAAAGAGATTTTATAAACTGGTTTTTTTTTCAAGAGCGATTCTTGTGCCTTTTTGAAGTGTAATCTTGAGTGATTCGGTTACAGCTTCATATCCCCAAATCGAGTTGTTTCGAGTGATTTGAAACAAGTCGTGGCCTCTCGAATAGTACTGGAACTATTCTTGCCATAGCTTGTATTGTCAGCTTGTTTAGAGGATTGTGATACGTGAGCTTGATCTCTCGTGTTGCCTTCCCGACTACCTCTCCATTCAAGAGAGTCCAGTTTATCACCATTAATATAGATATATATATATATAGCCATCCATCCCTTACTCTATCCAAATCTACAATATTTTTGTTACTTATTCTTGTGGAATTCGATCCGAATTGTTATCCTTGGCAAGTTCGCATCAATAGTTCTAATTGCAGTGCTTTTCGTATTTGTTGTAAAGTGTTCGAAATTAGTAAATTTAGCGCTTTTGTTTTTTCAATGGTTTTCCTTTATATTATATAGCATGTTATAGATTATACTTATTTTGTGCTCTATAGTGCTTCTAATTGTAGTGCTTTTCGTATTTGTTGTAGAGTTTTCGGAATTAGTATATTTAGCGCTTTTGTTTTTTCAATGGTTTTCCTTTATATTATATAGCATGTTATAGATTATACTTACTTTGTGCTCTATAGTGCTTCTAATTGCAGTGCTTTTCGAATTTGTTGTAGAGTGTTCGAAATTAGTATATTTAGCGCTTTTGTTTTTTCAAGGGTTTTCCTTTATATTATATAGGATGTTATAGATTATACTTACTTTGTGCTCTATAGTTATAATTGCAGTGCTTTTCGTATTTGTTGTAGAGTGTTTGAAATTAGTATATTTAGCGCTTTTGTTTTTTCAATGGTTTTCCTTTATTTTATATAGCATGTTATAGATTATACTTACTTTGTGCTCTATAGTGCTTCTAATTGCAGTGCTTTTCGAATTTGTTGTAGAGTGGTCGAAATTAGTATATTTAGCACTTTTGTTTTTTCAATGGTTTTCCTTTATATTATATAGCATGTTATAGATTATACTTACTTTGTGCTCCATAGTTCTAATTGCAAGGCTTTTCGTATTTGTTGTAGAGTGTTCGAAATTAGTATATTTAGTGCTTTTGTTTTTTCAATGTTTTTCCTTTATATTATATAGCATGTTATAGATTATGCTTACTTTGTGCTTGATAGTTCTAATTGCAGTGCTCTTTCTATTTGTTGTAGAGTGTTCGAAATTAGTACATTTAGCGCTTTTGTTTTTTCAATGGTTTTCCTTTATATTATATAGCATGTTAGAGATTATACTTATTTTGTGCTCTATAGTGCTTCTAATTGTAGTGCTTTTCGTATTTGTTGTAGAGTGTTCGGAATTAGTATATTTAGCGCTTTTGTTTTTTCAATGGTTTTCCTTTATATTATATAGCATGTTACAGATTATACTTACTTTGTGCTCTATAGTGCTTCTAATTGCAGTGCTTTTCGTATTTGTTGTAGAGTGTTCGAAATTAGTATATTTAGCGCTTTTGTTTTTTCAATGGTTTTCCTTTATATTATATAGCATGTAATAGATTATACTTATTTTGTGCTCTATAGTGCTTCTAATTGTAGTGCTTTTCGTATTTGTTGTAGAGTGTTCGGAATTAGTATATTTAGCGCTTTTGTTTTTTTAATGGTTTTCCATTATATTATATAGCATGTTATAGATTATACTTACTTTGTGCTCTATAGTGCTATATAATTGCAGGCTTTTCGTATTTGTTGTAGAGTGTTCGAAATTAGTATATTTAGTTCTTTGTTTTTTCAATGTTTTTCCTTTATATTATATAGCATGTTATAGATTATGCTTACTTTGTGCTTGATAGTTCTAATTGTAGTGCTTTTCGTATTTGTTGTAGAGTGTTCGAAATTAGTATATTTAGCGCTTTTGTTTTTTCAATGGTTTTCCTTTGTATTATATAGCATCATATAGATTCTACTTACTTTGTGCTCGATAGTTCAAATTGCAGTGCTTTTCGTATTTGTTGTAGAGTGTTCGAAATTAGTATATTTAGCGCTTTTGTTTTTTCAATGGTTTTCCCTTATATTACATAGCATGTTATAGATTATACTTACTTTGTGCTCTATAGTTTTTCTAATTACAGTGCTTTTCGTATTTGTTGTAGTGTGTTCGAAATTAGTATATTTAGCGCTTTTTTTTTCAATGGTTTTTCTTTACACTATATAGCATGTTATAGATTACACTTAGTTTGTGCTCCATAGTTCTTCTAATTGTAGTGCTTTTCGTATTCGTTGTAGAGTGTTCGAAATTAGTATATTTAGCACTTTTGTTTTTTCAATGTTTTTCCTTTGTATTATATAGAATGTTATAGATAATTCGTAGTTTGTGCTCGATAGTTCAAAATGCAGTGCTTTTCGTATTTGTTGAAGAGTGTTCGAAATTAGTATATTTAGCGCTTTTGTTTTTTCAATGGTTTTCCTTTATATTATATAGCATGTTATAGATTATACTTACTTTGCGCTCTATAGTGCTTCTAATTGTAGTGCTTTTCGTATTTTTTGTAGAGTGTTCGAAATTAGTATATTTAGCGCTTTTGTTTTTTCAATGGTTTTCCTTTATATTATATAGCATGTTACAGATTATACTTACTTTGTGCTCTATAGTGCTTCTAATTGTAGTGCTTTTCGTATTTTTTTTAGAGTGTTCGAAATTAGTATATTTAGCACTTTTGTTTTTTCAATGGTTTTCCTTTATATTATATAGCATGTTATAGATTATACTTACTTTGTGCTCTATAGTGCTTCTAATTGCAGTGCTTTTCGTATTTGTTGTAGAGTGTTCGAAATTAGTATATTTAGCACTTTTGTTTTTTCAATGTTTTTCCTTTGTATTATATAGCATCTTATAGATTATACTTACTTTGTGCTCGATAGTTCAAATTGCAGTGCTTTTCGTATTTGTTATAGAGTGTTCGAAATTAGTATATTTAGCGCTTTTGTTTTTTCAATGGTTTTCCTTTATATTATATAGCATGTTATAGATTATACTTACTTTGTGCTCTATAGTGCCTCTAATTGCAGTGCTTTTCGTATTTGTTGTAGAGTGTTCGAAATTAGTATATTTAGTTCTTTGTTTTTTCAATGTTTTTCCTTTATATTATATAGCATGTTATAGATTATACTTACTTTGTGCTCTATAGTGCCTCTAATTGCAGTGCTTTTCGTATTTGTTGTAGAGTGTTCGATATTAGTATATTTAGTGACATGGATACGAAAAGATCAGGACTTGCAATTCCACATATTCCAATCGGACCAGTCTCGAGAGCTCGAGCGAAAGCATGCATTGAAAATTTGCAAGGCCTAATAAAGAAATTAGAGAATTGGAGCCCAACCAACGGACTATGTTACAACATGCGAGGACTTGATGGAAAGCCTAGGGCGAGTGCCGTGGTTGTAAAGGTTACATTGGAGCTTGCAACGCCTCAACCGGAAAACTAACGGAAAAGTTGTGCAAACCTAGGAGTTTGCTAAAATAGAGGGTTTAATTGGTAATTATATAAACCTAGGTGCGAATGCTTAAGTGGGGGGGGACCATCTATTGGGACCACTTATACATATACATATACAATAAGCTCTCTCACATGCCTCTTACATGCAAGAGGGGACCATTAGCTAGGTGTCAATCAATGAGAGGTTACTTAGTTATACTAAACCTATCCCACATTGGAAAATCACTCCACTTGCCCCTTCCCCCACTCCTATAAATAGGACTCTTAAGGTGCTTTGTAAAACACACCAAGCAAGAATATTTTTGTGAATATTTGATCTTTTATGATCATTTCCTTTTATGGAAAGTTATGCTTGATAGCAATACTTTCTCTTTTAGTCTAATATTTCATGGAATGCAATTTCATTGCATGCTCCATGGGGTTTAGTTCAAAAATTCGGGTTTGAGTATAAAGCCTCAAGTTCGTGGCATTTGGGGAAGATGGAAGAGCTCTCCAAAGTGTCGACCGAGGTGGTGCCTTCGTGGAGGATGGTTCGATGCTAGAAGGGTATCGGGTCGTTCTTACGTTAGTACTTACTTAGGTTTGCTTCTCTTTCGATTATCCTTTTTCTTGCTTTATTCGTTTCCGCTTAGTTAATTTGTTCTTTTCTTTCTTAGTTAGTTCTGCTTAGTTAGTTTAATTCCGTGTCTTGTGTAGTTGATCAATTCGGTCCATGACATATATTTAATTTTGGTATCAGAGCAGTTTGATCAATTTACACTATCTTTATTCCGAAAATTCCAAAAAAAAAAAAAATTAAATTCCTTTGTTATCTTTTCTTTTTATTCATTCATCTAGTTGCGTAGTCGAGCTGTTTATTGCATATTCTTGACGTAGATTTGATCTCGAGTTTTGTCATTGCTTGGCCTTCTAGTGTAGTCGATTTGATCCTCTATGCTTCCTAGTGTACAACATGCACCTTACATCCATATGCATTATATGAACTCAAGCTTGTGACTTTGTTGACGAGTGATTTTAATTGTACACTTCATGCCCTTGTTTGAGTTTTACGAGTTTCTTCTTCTTTGAGTGTTGCAAGTTTGTTCTTGTTTGAGTTTTGCGATTTTGCTCTTGTTTGAGATTTGCTAGTTTGCGGGTTGTTGAGTTCGTTGTTGTTTGAAGTGAGGTTGAATTAATTGAGTTGGATGTTGTTGGGGAAGTGTAAGGAGTTATTGTTGATGTATTGTTTTGCCTAGGCCTCGTAATATTGCCGTGAAAAAGTAAAAAAAAAAAAAAAGAGTTGCGAAAAAAAAAAATTGTTGCAAAGAAAAGAAAAAGAAAACCAAAATATTTAAAAAAATAATAATAAAATAAAATACAAAAACAAAATCGAGCGGGAGGACTAGAGCAATTTATTGTCGATAATCTTGTTTGAGTTGTAGTTTTCTCATACGAGCTCCATTTTTCGCGTATGATATGTCATTGGAAAGCTTGTGATGTGGGGAGAAAGTTATATTAATTAGTTTTTGTGAACTTGTAGTTGACGTTGATTATTCAGTTTTGGGTTTTTGAGTTTGGATCGATTTTGTGCTTGTCATATTCGTTTGACACGTTTTAGAAGGGGTTGAGTATTGTGGTGATTTTGTGGTTGTTGAGATCTATTCAGCTTGTGTTTGTTGTTGACTTGCTTAGTTCCGGCATTTGTGTGTTGTGTACGTTTGGTCATTCGTTCGTGAATGAATGAGCTTGGTTCTTTGCATTGCATGATTGACACTATCTTGTGCTTTCTTTGATTGAGTCGTGTTTAAAGTTTCTTGTCCACTTTAAACGCGTACGTCACTCAGGTTCCACCTTTACGACTCCATCAAGGCACACTTTAAGAGCTTGGAAACTCTATCCATTTGTCGAGAGGTATACACGAGTGTGCGAGGGGGGGGGGAATCGAGAGAACTAACTTTCAATATACATATATTAGTTTGTTTTGGTGCAGGTATGGCTTCGTTGGATGATATCTTGGCTGCGATAAATAAGCAAAGCAAAGATATGCGAGATATTAAAGACGAGTTAGGTGGAAAGATGGATAGCATGACATCTCGTGTGGATCTGCAAGGTCGAGAGATACATGACCTACGGAGTCAAGTTGATCATGTTCGAGATGACATAGATGATGTTGTGGATGCTCGGATGAAGGCTTATGCGGAGGCCTTGTTAAGAAAGGTTGATCAAAACATGAAAAAGAAACTCGATGAGGTTTTCGATAAGGTTGCTACTCTTGAAGAAAGAGGAAGTCATAGTGATGCTAGACGTGAAGAAATCCACCTTGGCAAGCAACCTATGGGCTCAACAAGTGTTTTCCCAAATCGATCTATCCAAGTTGATGATTTTGGTGAAAGGCGTCATACTAGTCCAAGGCCTACATCTATCCAAGGCCGACGAGGAAGACGGGATGCTACCAAAGAGTTACTTGATGAATTTGTCTTGGAAGAAGATATCCATAACCGAAGGAGCCGAGTTCGAGTTAATGAGGTTGATGATAACATGCAGTCCATCAAGTTCTCCATACCACCTTTCGTAGGATCGGCTGAACCTAATGAGTTTCTTGAGTGGAAAAGCAAAGTGAAGATGATGTTTGCATGTCATAATTACTCGGAGCGCAAGAAAATTCAGCTTGCTGTTGTGGAGTTTAAGGAGTATGCTCTTGTTTGGTGGGAGAAGATACAAGCTGATATTGCAAGGTCTGGAATGCCTCCGATTGAGACATGAGCAGCCCTTACTCGAGCTATGCATGCACGTTTTGTGCCCCCGCATTATCGGATGGATCTTCTTCAGAAAATTCAGTTTTTAGTCCAAGGTAGCAAGACGGTTGAGCAGTACTACAAGGAAATGGAGATGCTTATGATGCGGGCTCAGCTTGTGGAAGATGATGGAGTCACCATGTATCGGTTTCTCAAAGGGCTGAGGTGTGATATTATGATTCAAGTGGATATGTATCCTTACAATTCTACTTTGGAACTTGTCCAACTTGCTACCAAGATTGAATCGCATGGAAAGGTAGGAGTAAGTGTGAGCTTTGGAAAGACGTCACCAAATTTCAACAAGTTTGGGGGTAATACGGGACCAACAAAATCTTGGCCCAAAGGAGATGATAAGCACACGACCAAGAATGAGCCGCTTAAGGTGGTTAAGCGTGATGAACCAAGGAAAGTCAGCAAGGATGGTTCACCAAACAAAGCAAAGGAAGTCACATGCTTTAAGTGTCAAAGGAAAGGTCATTATGCCAATACATGCCCTAATGTGCGAACTGTTGTGCTTTGTGACAATGGGGACTATGTACTTTGGTCGGATGATGAGGGTGAAGATTGGGAACATGAAGTTGAGGCGAGTGAGGATGAAGCAATCCAAGAGACGGAAGAGCACGTTGAAGAGGATTCATCCGGGGAGTCTCTAGTGGTTTTGCGAATGCTTGGAGCAGTTCCCAAGGAGTCGGAAAATTTTGTTGATCGGGTTAAGGAGCAACAGGAGAATATTTTCCATTGTCGGTGCAAGATTGGTGGGAAGCGAGCGTCGATAATCATTGATAACGGAAGTTGCACCAATGTCGTAAGTTGGTATGTGGTAGACAAGCTTGGACTCCAAACTATCAAGCATCCAACTCTATACCATCTTCAATGGATGAACTCTAGTGGAGATATGAAGATCACTAGGCAAGCCAAAGTTCCAATTTCAATCGGCCCCTACAAAGAGGATGTCCTTTGTGATGTTACTCCGATGACCGCATGCCATGTGCTTCTTGGCCGACAATGGCAATCCGATAAAGGAATTATCTATGATGGCAAGACTAACAAAGTTAGATTTTATGACAAGGGCTACAAGGTAATGATTCATTCTTTGCCATTGAAGGAGGTTCGAAAAGATCAAGAAAGTTTGCGAAAGAAGATGCAAGAGGCTGAAAGCCTTAAAAGAGCTAAAGGAAAAGAAGTATCCACAGAGGAAAAGAGAGAGTCTACTGCTAAGGGTTCCAACATCCTTCTTTCACTTACCGATTTTCAGAGAGAAGTTGGTGACCTAGATCATCAAAAGGGGGGTTGTTTTATGTTGTTATGCAAAGATTTATTTCATTCTGATAAAGATAATCTACTCACTAATTTTCCCATTCCCTTTGCTAGGATGCTTGAAGAGATGAAGGATGTATACCCGGAGGAACTACCGCAAGGACTACCGCCCATTCGTGGGATAGAGCATCAAATTGACTTCGTACCCGGTGCTTCGATCCCAAATCGTCCTGCATATCGGTGCAACCCAGATGAGAATAAGGAGATTCAAAAACAAGTCCAAGAACTTCTTGAGAAGGGATGGGTTCGGGAGAGCTTATCACCATGTGCTGTTCCTGTTATCATTGTCCCCAAGAAGGATGGAACTTGGAGGATGTGTGTGGATTGTAGAGCGGTGAATGCGATTACAATTAAGTATCGACACCCAATCCCGCGCCTTGATGACTTGCTTGATGAGATCAATGGGGCGAGAATCTTCTCCAAGATTGACCTTCGGAGTGGATACCACCAGATTCGTATGCAACCCGGCGATGAGTGGAAGACGGCATTTAAAACAAAGCTAGGTTTGTACGAATGGTTGGTAATGCCATTCGGTCTAACTAATGCTCCTAGTACCTTCATGCGTTTAATGAATCATGTTCTACGTGCTTTCATTGGTAAATTTGTTGTAGTATACTTTGATGATATTCTTGTCTACAGTAAAAGTGAAAATGAACATGTGGAGCATGTGCGACTCGTCTTTCAACGGTTAAGGGAAGAACAACTCTATGCTAATTTTAAAAAGTGCATATTCCACACTAATGAAGTTGTTTTCCTTGGGTTTGTAGTTAGCGAGGATGGCTTGAAGGTTGATGAAACAAAAGTAAAGGCAATTAAAGAATGGACACCTCCAATGAATGTGGGAGAAATTAGGAGGTTTTTGGGAATGTGTGGATTTTTTCGGAGGTTCGTGCCTGGTTTTAGCTTGATCGCTGCTCCTCTCACGTCCTTGCTCAAGAAGGGAGTCCCATTTAAATGGGAGCAAGCACACCAAGAAGCGTTTGAGACATTGAAGGCAAAGCTTACTCAAGCACCAGTACTTGCGCTACCAAATTTTGAGAAGACCTTTGAGCTTGAGTGTGACGCTTCGGGCAAAGGCATGGGTGCAGTTTTGCTTCAAGAAGGTCGACCCATAGCCTATCATAGTGAGAAATTTGGAGGGGCTGCCTTGAATTACTCTACATATGACAAGGAGTTGTATGCGGTGGTACGGGCTTTAAAGACATGGCAACATTATTTGATGCCACGAGAGTTTGTGATACACACCGATCATGAGACCTTGAAGCACTTGAGGGGGCAACAACAGCTGAATCGAAGGCACGCACGATGGGTATCTTTTATTGAGTCATTTCCATACACCATCAAGTACAAAAAGGGTAAGGATAATATTGTCGCGGATGCACTCTCACGCAGGTATGCTTTAATTTCATACGCGTCCACGCATTTATTAGGATTTGAGCATGTTAAGGAATTATACCACACTGATGAGGATTTCAAAGATGTGTATGCTTTGTGTGAATTTCATGGGCATGATAAGTATTGCAGACATGAGGGATTTTTGTATTATGATAATCGACTTTGTATCCCAAAATGCTCCATTCGGGAGTTACTAATACAAGAAGTTCACGGTGGTGACATGATGGGCCACTTTGGGAAGAATGCTACAATGGAAGCTCTTGGAGAGAAATTTTATTGGCCTGGAATGCGCAAGCAAGTTGCAGATTATATTTCGCGATGCGTGACGTGCCTTAAGGCCAAGTCAACACTTAAGCCACATGGACTCTACATGCCTCTTCCACCCCCTGAGGGACCTTGGATTGATATTAGTATGGATTTTGTGTTGGGTTTACCTAGAACTGCACGTGCTAAAGATTCTATTTTCGTTGTGGTTGACAGGTTTTCCAAGATGGCGCATTTCATTCCTTGTGCAAAGACAAATGATGCCCATCACATCGCCAAACTATTTTTCAAGGAGATAGTACGCCTTCATGGAGTGCCAAGGTCTATTGTCTCAGATCGTGATGCAAAGTTCGTGAGTTACTTTTGGAAATCGTTGTGGCACGAAATTGGTACTAAGCTTCTTTTCTCCACATCCTATCACCCCCAAACTGACGGACAAACGGAGGCGGTAAACCGGGTGTTGGGTAATCTCCTTAGAGTTATTGTGAATTCACATAGTAAAAGTTGGGATGAATGTCTTCCTTACATTGAATTTGCATACAATAGACATATCCACACAGCCACACACATGTCACCGTTTGAAGTAGTTTATGGAATGAACCCACTAACGCCTACTGATCTTTTACCATTGCCTAGCAATGAGTTCTTAAATGTTAATGGTAGGGAACGAGCAAGACGCATAAAGGAACTTCATAAGGATGTCAAAGCAAGTCTAGAAAAATCTGCGGAGGTATATGCTAAGTACGCTAACCGCGGACGTAAAGCTGTAATATTGCATCCCGGCGATTGGGTTTGGGTTCACATGAGGAAGGAAAGGTTTCCAGCAAGACGACGTACAAAGCTATCACCCCGAGGAGATGGGCCATTTCGAGTGCTTGAAAGGATTAATGATAATGCATACCGTTTGGAACTTCCGGATGAATATGGTATTAATCCTACTTTTAATATTGCAGATTTATCACTCTATGATCGAGCCGATGAGGAAGCACAACGGTTGATGGATCAACCTTCTGAAGGGGGAGAGGATGACATGGATACGAAAAGATCGGGACTTGCAATTCCACATATTCCAATCGGACCAGTCTCGAGAGCTCGAGCGAAAGCGTGCATTGAAAAATTGCAAGGCCTAATAAAGAAATTAGAGAATTGGAGCCCAACCAACGGACTATGTTACAACATGCGAGGACTTGATGGAAAGCCTAGGGCGAGTGCCGTGGTTGTAAAGGTTACATTGGAGCTTGCAACGCCTCAACCGGAAAACTAACGGAAAAGTTGTGCAAACCTAGGAGTTTGCTAAAATAGAGGGTTTAATAGGTAATTATATAAACCTAGGTTGCACATGCTTAAGTGGGGGGGGACCATCTATTGGGACCACTTATACATATACATATACAATAAGCTCTCTCACATGCCTCTCACATGCAAGAGGGGACCATTAGCTAGGTGTCAATCAATGAGAGGTTACTTAGTTATACTAAACCTATCCCACATTGGAAAATCACTCCACTTGCCCCTTCCCCCACTCCTATAAATAGGACTCTTAAGGTGCTTTGTAAAACACACCAAGCAAGAATATTTTTATGAATATTTGATCATTTATGATCATTTCCTTTTTATGGAAAGTTATGCTTGATAGCAATACTTTCTCTTTTAGTCTAATATTTCATGGAATGCAATTCCATTGCATGCTCCATGGGGTTTAGTTCAAAAATTCGGGTTTGAGTATAAAGCCTCAAGTTCGTGGCATTTGGGGAAGATGGAAGAGCTCTCCAAAGTGTCGACCGAGGTGGTGCCTTCGTGGAGGATGGTTCGATGCTAGAAGGGTATCGGGTCGTTCTTACGTTAGTACTTACTTAGGTTTGCTTCTCTTTCGATTATCCTTTTTCTTGCTTTATTCGTTTCCGCTTAGTTAATTTGTTCTTTTATTTCTTAGTTAGTTCTGCTTAGTTAGTTTAATTCTGTGTCTTGTGTAGTTGATCAATTCGGTCCATGACATTTAGCGCTTTTGTTTTTTCAGAGTTTTCCTTTATATTATATAGCATGTTATAGATTATACTTACTTTGTGCTCCATAGTTCTAATTGCAAGGCTTTTCGTATTTGTTGTAGAGTGTTCGAAATTAGTATATTTAGCGCTTTGTTTTTTCAATGTTTTTCCTTTATATTATATAGCATGTTATAGATTATACTTACTTTGTGCTTATAGTTCTAATTGCAGTGCTTTTCGTATTTGTTGTAGAGTGTTCGAAATTAGTATATTTAGCGCTTTTGTTTTTTCAATGGTTTTCCTTTATATTATATAGCATGTTATAGATTATACTTACTTTGTGCTCTATAGTTCTTCTAATTGCAGTGCTTTTCGTATTTGTTGTAGAGTGTTCGAAATTAGTATATTTAGCGCTTTTTTTTTTCAATGGTTTTTCTTTACATTATATAGCATGTTATAGATTACTTAGTTTGTGCTCCATAGTTCTTCTAATTGTAGTGCTTTTCGTATTCGTTGTAGAGTGCTCGAAATTAGTATATTTAGCGCTTTTGTTTTTTCAATGTTTTTCCTTTGTATTATAGAATGTTATAAATTATACTTACTTTGTGCTCTATAGTTCTAATTGCAGTGCTTTTCGTATTTGTTGTAGAGTGTTCGAAATTAGTATATTTAGCGCTTTTGTTTTTTCAAAGGTTTTCCTTTATATTATATAGCATGTTATAGATTATACTTACTTTGTGGTCTATAATGCTTCTAATTGTAGTGCTTTTCGTATTTGTTGTAGAGTGTTCGAAATTAGTATATTTAGCGCTTTTGTTTTTTCAATGGTTTTCCTTTATATTATATAGCATGTTATAGATTATACTTACTTTGTGCTCTATAGTGTTCTAATTGCAGTGCTTTTCGTATTTGTTGTAGAGTGTTCGAAATTAGTAATTTAGCCATTTTGTTTTTTCAATGTTTTCCTTTGTATTATATAGCATGTTATAGATTATACTTACTTTGTGCTCTATAGTTCTAATTGCAGGCTTTTCGTATTTGTTGTAGAGTGTTCGAAATTAGTATATTTAGCGCTTTTGTTTTTTCAATGTTTTTCCTTTATATTATATAGCATGTTATAGATTATGCTTACTTTGTGCTCTGATAGTTCTAATTGCAGTGCTCTTTGTATTTGTTGTAGAGTGTTCGAAATTAGTATTTTAGCGCTTTTGTTTTTTCAATGTTTTCCTTTATATTATATAGCATGTTATAGATTATACTTACTTTTGTGCTCTATAGTGCTCTAATTGTAGTGCTTTTCGTATTTGTTGTAGAGTGTTCGAATTAGTATATTTAGCGCTTTTGTTTTTCAATGTTTTTCCTTTATATTATATAGCATGTTATAGATTATACTTACTTTTGTGCTCTATAGTTCTTCTAATTGCAGTGCTTTTCGTATTTGTTGTAGAGTGTTCGAATTAGTATTTAGCGTTTTTTTTTTCAATGGTTTTCTTTATATTATATAGCATGTTATAGATTATACTTACTTTGTGCTCTATAGTTCTAATTGCAGTGCTTTTCGTATTTGTTGTAGAGTGTTCGAAATTAGTATATTTAGCGCTTTTGTTTTTCTCAATGGTTTTCCTTTATATTATATAGTATCATATAGATTATACTTACTTTGTGCTCGATAGTTCAAATTGCAGTGCTTTTCGTATTTGTTGTAGAGTGTTCGAAATTAGTATATTTAGCGCTTTTGTTTTTTCAATGGTTTTCCTTTATATTATATAGCATGTTATAGATTAT